AACCTGGTTGGTGGTACCTCTAACCCGAGGTTCTTGCCTGCCCGATTTCTTTCACATTAGTATCTGTTTTCTAGGTCTAGCCTTTACAGTAGTACTGTTGAAGATCTGTGCTACCTTTCTACTCAGGTCTTCTCAAATGGGTTCTGGCTTTCTAGTTTATGGTTTTACATGACCACAAGGACTTAACTTGAGTTTGCACTACCTGATGCTAGCTTGCATTCCTCTGTATAAATTCAACATTGCACAGATGCCCTATGACCTGCCAGTTATAAGATGCAACTATGTTACAGGTACTGATCCTAACTGATTGACAGAATGCTATTACTGTAATACTATCTATATATTACATAAGTAATTATCTAAATTTTTCACTATCAGTAGAATTTGAACTCACTTCTACTACTTTAGGAATTGACAACTTATTCACTATACTAAGTTGCTACACCTCTTTTTTTGACTATTTTATAACTATATATTTAAAAAAATTTAACTATATAATTTATATATATGTTTCAAATTACTATTAGCCAATTAAAATATAAGCAACTTAATATTTTATATATATTTATTACCTATATAGTTATACATAACTAACTATAAGTATTTTTAATAATTTTAACTTGCTTATCTTTTTTTAAACTAGAAGATTATAATCTAATAAATAATATATTAACTTTTACTAATAATAATCTATATATAATTAATAGATTTAAATCAGAATTTATATATTTTTTATATAATTTAATTTCTTATTTATACTTTGATTCAATATTTTTATTAATTTTTATGTTTTTTAGATCTTAAATTTACTTTTTTTATATATAGATTCTGTTATAATAAAAACTTTGTACTATTTCAGATATAATTTTAATTTAAATTAAGTATATAAAATTTTGATAATATATAAGTAAATATATAAAAGCAAACAAAAATATAGAAAATAGCAATCCTAGTGTAGTAGTTAGATTGTCATTCTTTAAACAGTAAATTCAGAGTTCAAATCATACTAATAGCAGAATTTTGAAAAATGAACCTATTCTAAAAACTTAGACAAGGTATCTGAGATTGCAACTTTATAATTTTAGACTAACTTTGGAAGTATACAATGTTATATAAATAAATTTAAAAAGTATATACTCTATAAAAAGCTTTATTTAAAAATCACAAATAAAAAAATAATTAGATTTTGACAATACTATTTGTAAAAATCTTGTTCTGAAGAAGAAAATAAAAAGCAAATAATTTGTAAGAACAAAAACTCTTAGATAAAAAGGATCTACCAATCTGGCTACCAGTTGATTTAAGTATAAAGTTATATCATGCAGAGTTTACTAAATTGATAATATAAAAAAACTTGTAAAAATAAATAAGATACTGATAAGATTGTAAAAATAAGTACTGGAGTTGTATAATCTTTACAAAAATATAGTAGTTTAATAGTTAGCTCTAATTGCAAGTATTGATTTAACTATAGTGAGTTTGAGTCAGCTGTAAATAGAAATACAAAAGCCTTTAGAAGGTTTTTCTTAAGGATAAATTAGTTCTAAGATTAAAATAAGGATCTGAAATAATTTGGTAAAGTTAATATAGTTTATAGGTTTAAAAAGTTTAAATAGAACATTTAAGCAGGAGTGTTAAGTATAACAACTAATAAAAAACCCTTGAGCAGACTCTTTAAATAAATAATATAAAAAAAGTTATATATATAGCTAGTTGTATTTTCTTTTTGTAGTAGTTCCTATAGGATTATATTATCCAAAAAATGTTAATAAAGTTAAAAGACTAATGAGATTACCTTAATACTAGGGTTGTTAATGGGTTGGGTTGGGTTGGGTTGGGTTGATCCAATTCTTAACCCACTTCAGTAAATTAGACTTACTTTAGCATTTTGCTCTGGGTTGCTTCATAGCTACTCCAGGTTGCTCCAAACTTAAAAATAAAAATTTAAACCCACTCCAACTTGGGTTGGGTTCTACTTTGGAGTGCTCCGAAGCAAGCTACTTCATTAACAACCCTACTTAATACCAAAATATATATATATATATATATAAATAAATAAACAAAAAATTATTTAGTTTTAAGTATTATGTTAAAAACGAAAAAGTTTTAGTTATTAATCTTAAAAATCTTGTATACAATATTCTAAAAAACTTTATAATAATATAATAAAATTTAAGATTTTTTCTAAGTTGACCAACTGTACAAAATATAATAAAAAATTTTGTCTAACTTAATAAAGAATTTACAACATTACTATATAGCTATATATATTATAAAATTTGTATTATAAAGAAACTTTTACTTAGCAAACAATTACTATATTTAACTTTTAAATATATAAAAAAACATTAAAAGATCTTATAATCTAATACTTCTTTATTAGTTAAAAAAATAAAAAAAATAACTTAATGTTTAATTATAAAAATTATTGTTATAGCTGATGCTAAAAACAGCTAATACTGAAATTTATATAATCATCTAATAATTATTTGTTCTCAGTACATCGATTTGTTAAATAAGATGCGTCAACTTGTTTAACTTGTTAAATAAGATGCATCAATATAGCATTATGGCTAAAGCCAAAATGCACATGCAGCTTAGCCATATATATAATGATCTCATATATAAACCTTGTCTGTTGTGGGCACCTAGGTATGTATATATAGTATGTACAGTATGTACCTACTTTAGAAATGCAGTATTGTATAATGAGGCCATAGCTATTACTTTGAATTAGTATAAAGGTTAAAGTGCTAAGATAGCACTAACACAAAAGGAAAGAAAAATTATTTGGATTAAATGTAAGAAAAAAAAAAAGGTTAGTAGATTCTGTTAATTTTATGATTCTATACTGAGTTATAAAAGGCAACTAGAAATATTGAAATCTTATATTCTGCTTGCTTTATCTGCAATTTCAATACTTCACTAATTTTAATATTACAGATCACTGGTATATAAAAAGGCAAATATGGCTTCTTTTTTTTTTAAAAAAAAAAAAAAAGTTTAGTAAACTCTGTTAACTTTGCAACTTTATATGGATTATGGCCTTATACTATTTGCTTTGCCTATAATTTCAATACTTTTATTGGTTTATTACTATAAAAAAAGACTAGTGATTTTATGACTTTTGTAGTTTTTTGAGTTCTCTGAGTTTCTTAAAAGCAATCTTAATACTCATGAAATTGTAAACTATGACAGTCATTTCAAAAAAAAAAAAGGTTAGTAAGTTCTGTAAATTTTATAACTTTGTACTAGGCTATAAATTTAATATGAATATTAAAGTCTTACTTTGTCTACTTTGCCTGCAATTTTAATATTCTCTGGTTTCAATACTACTGGTCATTAGTTTATAAAAAAAAAGGTTAGTTGCTTTTATAGCCTTTATAGGTTGAATTCTATAAAAGTAAGCTTAATACTTATGGAATTATAAACAATAACAGTAAATTCTCTTATATGAACTTTGTAATTCCAAATTCTATACTGGGGCTATGAAATTCGACTAGAAATACTGAAGTCTTATATTCTGTCTGCTTGTCTACAACTTTAATACTTCACTGGTTTCAATATTACTAGTTGTTGATCTATTAAAAAAAAGATTAGTAGTTTTTATAACCTTTATAGTTTTTGAATTATATAAATGCAAGCTTAATATTCATAAAATTGTAAACTATAATAGTAAATTCGAATATGACTTATTTCAAAAAAAAAAAAGGTTAGTGGATTGGTCTTATACTCTGTCTGCTTTGTCTACAATTTTAATACTTCATTGGTTTTAACATCACTAGTCATTGATCTACAAAAAAAAAAAAAAGGTTAATGGTTTCATAGTTTTTGAATTCTATAAAGATACATTTAATACTTATAAAATTGTAAATTGTAGTAGTAAATTCGAATGCAACATTATCTAAAAAAAAAAATTAGTATGCTCTGTGAACTTTGTGATTCTATACTGTTTATATTAGATTATGAAATGTGACTAAAAATATTTTACTTGCAATTTCAATACTTTACTAATTCTAACATTACTTGTTTATAAAAAAGGTTAGTGAATTTTATAGTCTTTATAGTTTTGAGTTCTATAAAGGCAAGCTTAATACTTATAGAATCTTAAATTATGATAGTAAATTCAAATGTGATACTCAAAAAAAAAAAAAAAGTTGTGAGTTCTGTAAACCTTGCGATTTTATACTAGAGCTATTAAATGTGACTAGAAATATTGAAGTCTTTTGTCTGTTTTGTTTACAATTTCACTGGTTTCAACATCACTGTTTACTAGTCTACAAAGAAGGTTAGTGGCTTTATAGCTTTTATAATTTTAAGTTCTATAAAGGCAATTTAATACATATGAAATGTAACTTTTTTATAATAGTGAATTTGAATATGATTTCCTTTTTTTTTTTTTTTTAAACAAAAAAGAGATAGTGGGCTCTAAGCTTTATGATTCTATACTGGTTTCAACATCATTGGTTACTAGTATCACTAGTATATAAAAAAAGGTTAGTTCTTTCATAGTTTTTGAATTCTATAAAGACAAGTTTAATATTTAGATCATAAATTAGAATCATAAATTATAATAGTGAATCTGAATGCAAGTGAATAATATTAGAGGTTAGTGTTTATTATTTTTTCAAGATCCTTATTATCAAAATTTGGTATTAACTACCCAACTTTTAAAACATCTAATTCTAAACTCATCGCTAACTCTATCACTAACCCTATCACTAACCCTATCGCTAGCCCTATTACTAACTCTATCACTAATCCTAATGTATCACCAAATATATTGCTAACTCTAGTATCATCAAATACATCACTAATTCTAGTGTCATCAAATATATTACTAATTTAATGTAAATTCTAACACTAATGTATTACTAATATGTTGCCAAATGTAAAATTATGTGCATTGTTTTTATGAAATCTGATTGGTGCTAATTATTGAAAAAAAAATTATATAAATAGCAGTTTATGTAAATTGTTTTTTTTTGTAGTTTTTAACTATGCCAGCAGTTCCAAAGCTTTCCAGTATACCAAACAAATATTAAGATATTATTAATTATCTTCAATTCAAGAAAATACCAAAAAATATTTATAGTCCTAGTGCAAAGTCTAATTTTGAATATCAGTACAAAAAATTTAAGTTAGATGAAAATAGTGTTCTTTATCTTTTTGCTATAGTTAAAAATAGCAAAGTTATTTTTAATATACATCATATAGTTCCTAAATATGATATTAAATTATATAATTTGTTATTAAAAAATTTTATGATCAATCTAATTATCACTACTATCATCCAACATATTCTGCACTTTTAAAAAAACATATTGGTATTATGCAAGTAGAAGTGTAGGAATATATTAACAAATGCTCAGTTTGTGCCATTAATTTCTCTATTAAAGAAAAACTAATATGAAGTCAGTTATGTCTATGGCACTATGGCAGCATGTTCAAATAGATTTAGTTAATTTTCATGATTTTGCAATTCTTAATTATAGGTTTGCATAGTTACTTACTTGTGTTTGTACTTTTCAAAATATCTTATTGCAGTTTCTATAAAAAACAAAAAAGCAGGTACTGTTGCTACACATCTTGTTAAAGATGTTTTTAAAATTCTAGGCTCATCAAAAGTAATTTAAAGTGATAATGGAAGGGAGTTTGAAGGAATCATAAAACAAGTTTGTGAAATTTTCAATATCTGAATCAAGCATAGTCACCTCTGCTATATCCAATCCCAAGAACAGATAGAATGACTTAACCAAATGATTGGTTGCAGTTTTATAAAACTTTTATGGAATAATAATAATCAGCTCCAAAAAAAAAATTAGATAAATGTAATAGATGTATTTGTTATCTCTTATAACTCTATAATTCACAGAGTGCATAGATATATGCCCCACGAAATTATGTTTAGATAGAAGATGCACTATATGTATGAAATATCAAACACTGACAAAATTAATGAAATAGAGATAGACACTAACCAGGCTAATGAAATAGAAGTAGATACTGAGCAGACCAATGAAATAGAGGTAGATACTAACAATTCAGAAACAAATGAAATAGAGGTAGACACTTTAGAAACAAATAAAAACATTTAGATCAATATAAATAATTCAGAAAAAATTATATAGCAACATATATTATGAGTATCATGAATTTAAAAGATTAGATTTAGGATTGAACTCAGTAATATCATTACATCACATGATTAAGTGCTCAGTCTAAGTTAGGGTTAGTGTTTGAGTTAGCGTTAGGTTTGGTGTTAGAATTAGTGTTAGGGTTAGGTGATGTTTAGGCTGATTTGTTTAATATTTACTATAGTAAACAAATGAAACAAATTACATAATTGTATGATCATGTTATATGGTAATAACTGAGTTTTTTATTAAAGTATTGCATAAGTAGTTTAGTAGTTTTAGTAATGTTTTATTTTTTATTTTTTTAGTTTGTAAATACTATTTTAGGAAAGTATTATATGAAGCTGTGTCAACAAGGAAGTGTCTATCAAAAAAAATAGCTAACAATACAATCAAAACTAGAACTTCTGTTAGCATTGCACTGGACTATAATACAAATCCACAAATGTGAAAAAAAAAATTGCAACCAATGTTTTCTCAAATAGGCATATTCAAAAGATTAACTTCTAACAATTATATGACAATTGTAGAAGTTGATTGCAAAGATATGCCTATCCCAATCAAATGAATTAAAGTAACCAAATCTTAAATGATATATATCATTTAAATTTCTTTAAATTTTTTGTTTTTTTTTTTTTTGAAAAATTGGATTTTTTTTTTTTTTTTTAAATATAAAAATCTTTTTTTTTTTATATATAAAAACTGTTTTTTTTTTTTTATATATATATATATATATATAAAGAAAAAATTTTTTTAATTTTTTTTTAATTTTTAAGATTTTGTTTGTTTTTTTTTTTAGAAAAAATCATATAGATAATCAAATAAAATAAATTTGTAGGATATAAATTGCCTGTAAAACTTTATTTTTCAATTGTAAATTACAGAATACAAATTATTGTTATAAGTTTTTGCTGCATTAAGGTTTATAAAAATTAGAACTGTGGTAGTGCTTCACTAACCTTCTTATAGACCAGCAATATTGGAACTAGTAAATTTTTTTTTTTTTTTGAAATTGAAGTCATATTTGAATTCAATATTATAATTTACACTTCTGTAAGTATTAAATTGCCTTTATAGAACTCAAAAACTAAAAAGACCATAAAAGCCACTAATCTTTTTTTATAGTTCAGTAATAATGAAACCAGTAAAGTACTCTTTTTTTTTGAAATAAAGGCATATTAGAATTCATTGTTATACTTTACAATCTTGCAATTCCAGGAGTATTAAGCTTGCCTTTATAGAACTCAAAACTATGAAGCACCTAATCTTTTTTTTACAAATTAGTAATAATGAAAACAGTAAAGTAATAAAGTTTCAGATAAGTAAATAGTGTAAGGCTTAAATATATTTTATAATCCAGTATAGAATTGTGAAATTTTATGGAGTCTGCTATCTACTAACCTTTTTTTTTTGGAAATAAAATTATATTCGAATTCATTATTATAATTTACAATTTTATATTATTAAGCTTGCCTTCATAGAACTCAAAAATTATAAAGATAATAACAGCACTAACCTTTTTTTATAGATTAGTAATTGGTAGTATTAAAACTAGTGAAGTATAAAATCATGAAGTTTACAAAGCTTCCTACTTTTTTGAGAGAGATTAGATATTATATTTGAATTTACTGTCATAATATAGAATTTCATGAGTATTAACCTTGCCTTTATAGAACTTAAAAAACTATGGGGTATAAAAGCTATAGACTAGCAACCAGTAACTATAATGGTAGAACTAATGAAGTTTTGGAATTGCAAGCAAAACTGAATAGATTTCAATATTCTGGCTGCATTTTATAAATCATGAAATTTATAGAGCCCACTAACCTCTTTTTTTTTTTGATTTTAAGAAGTCATATTTGAATTTACTGCCACAATATCATGAGTATTAATTTTGTCTTTACAAAACTCAAAAACTATAAAGGCCATTAAAGTTATTAATTTTTTTTACAGACTAGCAATATTAAAACTGGTGAAGTATTGAAAGCAAACAGAATATACAACTTGTAGTCTAATAAGAATCATGAAGTTTACAAAGCCCACTAACTTTTTTTTTTTTTTTAAAATGAAGAAGGTGCATTTATTTTACTATTATAATTTACAATTCTATAAGTATCACAGCTTGCTTTATAGAAGTCAAAAACTGTGAAGACCATAAAACAACTAACCCTATTTTTATAAATCAAAGAGTTAGAAATAGTGCTATACTAAATTGCAGATGAAGCAAACAAAATATAAGACTGATTGTATTTCATATTTCAACTTAAAATCATAAAGTTACTAATCTTTTTTTTTTTTTAACAAGCAATACTTCAATTTTTTGTAGCATAAAGGTTCTTTGTTATGCTATAATGTAAGTAAACATCTTTGCAATATAAAAATTAAAATAACTATGCAAACTGCTAACCTTTTTTTTTACAATGATACTTGAATTTTCGGTACACTTATATTTCATCTATGTCATAATTATAAAGTATTTTTAATATATGTTTCAGTCAAAGTTTAATTGTAAAGTTTGTACTATGAAATTTGACAAAACAAAAAAATTAGTTGTGACATATGATGCATCTCATTTAACAAGTTGGACAAGTTGATACATCTTATTTGACAAGTTGATGTATTGAGAACAAATGATCATCAGATGATTATATAAATTTTAGCATTAGCCATTTTCAGCATCAGCTGCAACAATTATTTTTGTAGGGTATGATGACTTAGTGAAGTGGATAAGTTGTTATATTCCTAGTGATAAGTTGTGAGTTTAAAACCTACTGACAGCAAAATTTAGATAATCACTTATATAATATATAGATAGTATTACAGCAATGGCATTCTATCGATCAGTTGGAATAGGATACCTGTAACTATAGTTACACTAGCATAACTGATAGGTTTGAGGCATCTGTATAATCTTGGTTATATAGAGGAATGCAAACTGATACCAGTCAATGCAAATCTAAAATAAGTTTTTGGATTATATAAATCTATAAAACTGAAAAGTTAAAGCTTACTTGGAAATTTTAAGCAAAGAGATAAAATGGATTTTCAACAGTATTATTATAAAGGCTAGACCTAAAAAATAGATATCAATATAAAGAAATTGGGTAAGCAAGAACCTTAGATGAGGGGTACTATCAACTAGACTGCTAAATTTCAGACTAGAGAAAAAGGATATTGGGCTGGTCTTAATATACTAAAGACAGGTTATAGTTCTTTTGGGCTATCTGAATTGGAAGTCTGAGGTCAAAGCAGAAGTATACTAAAAGTACTAAAGATATGCTGTGAAATCAGTGCTAGAGTCTGAGTAAACTCTGTAAGGATAACCTTTGTTAGTGTTCTAAAAGTAGATAAATAATTAACAATGAAGGCTTTCTGCATCTTACTGGCAGGTGATATACTCTGAAATGTATAACAATCTAAGAACTAGTACAAAAAAGGTAGGTATTATAATGCTTAAATAGTATATCAGTTAGATATATACAAAGGGTAAGTTGGGATTACATCATGACAAAATGGATAATCAGAAAGTTTAAATAAATAATCTTCTAGTAAGTTATAAGTATGATATTGTTAATCTATAGTTTTTCTTTTAATTACAGTGATATCAAAAGCTGCTTAACTATAGTATGATAACTATAACTTGACAGGTTCTATACAAAAGTCTATACAAGACTTTAACAAAATATAGAGTGATTTGGTGTTTTAAAGCAGAGGCAACAATAGATAGTATATGAAGATACTAAATATTGTATTCAGTTTATTAACTATAAAATATATGAAGACACTTCTATAGTAAAGTGTAGGAAAGCACTTAACTTTCTTAAAGGGTCAGAAAGTAGTACTTTTATAGATATTTTACATGTATAAATTATCACAATAAAAATAAGTTATTCCTATTGAATATGCTAAATATAGTATAAATGATAAAAGATATAAAAGATATAAAAGATATATGCTATATGATATATATAAGAGATATCTAATAAATAGTATATATATGATATATGTGAGATATGAGAAATCTATGATATCTATGATATTTGAAAGATTTGAGAGAATTGGGGCTTAGCTAATTTAACCATTTATATCCAAGTCACATGTACTAGATATAGTACTTCATCAAAATTGTCTCGATCTCATGTTCTTGTAATCAGAATCATATGATCTTGTGCTCATTAGAATCATCTCGGTAAGCTGAATCCAATGGTGGTTGTTTCATCCAAATTGGTTTGGTACATCAAAAGTTATGATCGAAAATGTAAAACTTCTAATATTAACAGCATCTAGTATAGAACCTTAGGGTGAACTATTTAAATAGGCAACCAAAAGTTGCACACATGACTAATTGTACTTTAATCTCTATAACAATAATTGTAATAGTTAATCCAATAAAAGTTAATAAAGTATTGTCACAAGTATTACTTTTAACAAAAAAAAAAAATTATTTTTGTAATTATATAAAGTTATCTAACAACTAAGTCTAGTATTACTTAACTACCTTAATAATATTTAAGTGTAATCTATTATATTATTTTAAACAAAAGTATACTACTTATTTAATTACTTAAAGTTTATAATAAAAAAATTTTCTTTTTATAATTTGAAAGTTTTTTTTGCTTATTTTTTTTCTTTTGCCTTCTATTTATTTATTTTTTTTTTTTATTTAAAATCTTCTTTTTTTGAATTTTCTTTTTTATTCTGTTTGTTATTTTCTTCTTTTTTTTTTATTTAATAGTTTTTTTATATTATGTTCTTTATACTTATTTATTTTTTTATAGTTAAAGTTCCTATCTTGAAAATGCAACATTTTTATTCAAGTATATTAGGACACAGCATGCCACCAGAGGCTTACCTTATATTGAAGGTTACAACTAGCCATATATGTACTTTTGGTGCCTAATTTAAGTAGTCCATTTACACATTGCTATAAAAGTTCTATACTAGTTGCCATATCTGCAAGCCAACTAAAGGTCTTGCCTATTTAAACTTTCATATATGCAGTTCTCTTTGTATCATGAGAACATTTTAAAGCTACACTTATCCAAGTTTCTAATTCTTGTTATTATCCTTAGAACTAGTTTATCCTTGACAGGAAACTTACTAGAGCCTTTATGTCCCACACATATAAACCTAGTTTTATGCAACATGCTATAGTTATTTAATACTTGCAATCACAGAAGTCACCTGTTTAACCACTATATTACACTATTTCTATTCTTGTAAAGTTTACTAGAACCCTAGTACTTATCTTTTTGGCATCTTCTCCATTATCTTCTACTAGCTGCAACTCAGAACTGTCAGTCTTATTCTAAACTACCAATCTAGATAACCTAGTATAGTATATTCTGTATTTTTTTCTCTATATACATGTAATATTACATTTTGCATAGATGTCCGAGCTTCTAATATCAGTAGGACCTGACTTAGTGTACCTGAGTAACAGCCATATAAGGCCAACTGATCGACAGAAGATAGTTACCATAATGCAGATATAATTTTCAAATTTCATTATAAGTGGAATTTGAACCTTAAACCTGCCACTTGAAGGATGACAACCCAACTACTACACTAAGATTACCATCCTTCTTTATACTTGTTTATAAAATATATTACAAGCTATTTTTGTTATTATATTTGTAAACTGTTGTTTTAATTTTATATTTAAAAGCTTTATTAGTTTGTTTTGTATTTTTTTACAATTAAACTTTTAATTAGCATTATTTTTAATTTTTTTTTTCTGTTTATATTTTTTTTAAAAAAGCTATATATAGCATATATAAAGGAATTTGAATTTTTTAACTCTTTTTATATTATTGTTATAGTTATTTTTTGAATTCTTTTTTAAAAATTTGTTTGTCTTTTATATAATACTAAATATGCTTATGTTTTTTAATTTTATTTTGATATATTTAAGATTCTACTATTATATATATATTTGGTTTTCTTTTATTAAGTTTCTTTAAGGTTAAAATTTTTTTGTTATAAATTTTATAATTGCATTTTATTTTGCACTACTTTTTTTTGTAATACAATATACTTTTTAGTTATTTTTATTTTTTTTAAAAAAATATGTCTAATTATAAATTATAATTTTTATTTTTAATTTTAAATTTTTAATCACTTTTATTTTTCTTTATTTTGCTCTTAATTTAACCACTTTGTATAAAATCTTGCTAATATATCAGTTTGTTATTTTTTTATTCTAAGCAGTACTTTATTTTTTTACAACTATTTTCTTTTCTTACAAACTATTAATTTTATTATTTTACTTATTTTATTATAACTTTAACTTTTTTTAAAAAAAATCTAATATATTTTTTTGCTTTCTTCTTAATCAAACTAGTATTTTATTAAAAATTTTGAAATTATATTTGCAATTATATAAATATCTCTAATAATTAAGTTTAGCATTATCTGATCACCTAATAATATCTAAACACAATCTGTTATATTACTTTAAGAAAAAGTAAACTACTTATTTAATTACTTAAAATCCATAATAAAAGGATCTTCTTTTTTTTATAACAAACCTCAACATTGTCTTTCTAGTTTCTTTCTCAATTCATGTTCTTTTTTCTTTTGTTTTCTTTTTTTCTTTTCTCTATTTCTTACTAATTTGCTTTCTTTTTTTTTGTTTAAATTCTTTTTTTGTTGAGTTTTCTTTTTACTTTTCCCATTATTCTTACTTCTTTTTCCCATTTATTGATCTTTTCACATTATATCCTTCACACCTGCTCATAGAATATGTTCTAGGCTGTTCTTGCTATAATGCATGCAAACTGCTATCTTGAACTAATATTTCAAATAAACTAAACTATAAATAAAAATATTAAAAATTAAGAAGCAGACACTGAAAATATGGTTACGCTTACAAATCAAGTGTAACTTACTAGAGGTATGCCTTTGTGTAAAGAATTTTATTACAGTATTCAGATAATATTACACTAAATCTCTTCCACTCAACAAAATTCGACTTGTAATTGGATCAGTTAATGTCTAAATTAAAAGATAGGATAAATATTAGGTAAACATAAAAAAGAGATAATAACATAGATATTAATATACAAACCTTTTCTATTGAGATTTCTTCTTCGCAGTACTCTTCATAATCCCGGAATACCTTATGATCGTTGGCATCGCTATCTGTTAATACGATTTTTAAATCCATACTGAATACTTGTCATTAAAACCCACCTCATCATTTGGATCTGTCTCTGATTTATCACCAGTATCATTATTAGCAATTCTCTTTTGTTTGGATTCATAATGTGTATTTTCAGGCTGTTGCCGTTTTTTGCTATTTCCAGCATACGACTTTCAAAAAATTGATAAATAAAATAATAAGCATTCAGTAATCAGTTACAGTATGCGCACCAAAATAAACTTACGTTGGCTAAGTTTTAAGTATGAGCATCACTTAATGCAGTTTTATCTTTGACGATATTTGTCATCACTCATGTTTCATACATTTCCTAATTTGTATATAAGTCAGACCATTAACCCAGTGACGAATGCTTTTAACACTTACATTTGTATGAGAAAGATCCAATTTATTGAAGTACTGTCGGACTTCAAATTCGTCCAAGTGAACTCAAATTTGGACTCGAGATGTTCTAGTTTACGTCTTGCACTAGCTAATAATGAATTTGATATATGACGTGTTCAAATTATATTTTTTATAAATGGTCGCGACTTCGTCCGCGCTGTAAGACGTGAACATAGGGTTCTGTATCGAATACAAGCAATATAGGATACTCCATTCGGAGTATTTAACAATGTCAAAGTAGTTGTTGATTTGTCAGTATAAATCCATTTGTTGATCTAGAAATAAGTAAATAATGTTGAAGGATAGCCTGCGTTTAACGTGTTCAATAATATATAACTAGGAACTTTGTTTCAATAGCAACTGGTCAGCAAACGCCAAGGAGTAGGTGACAATGTAGACACAGGAGCAAAATACGTGTCATCAAGGCAGGTATCCTGACTATTGCTGCAAACATCGGCCGAAAGTGGTCGCGAGCATAACGAACTCACGGTGGTGCACAATCAGTGCGTAGGAAATTGCTGGAAATTCATAATATCACAATATATTTTTAATAAATATTTATTTTCCTAACCTGAATTGGCGAGAATTACTTGCTAGAAAGAAAAAAATACGCGATTCGCACGTCGCACAATTCTTTCGGCAAGAATATCTTACTATCTTACTGCGTATTTCAGGTGATCAATCCACATGACGCTCGGATGGGTTAACTGATCAATAATATGAAAGGAATTGTTTAATGTACTGAAAATTACCAGAAAATAATGGATAGATAGTTACATGTATACTATTTTTTATTTATATCAATAAAGTGATCTTTATTTTTTCTGATGTTTTTATTGCAGAGCAATGAGGCTTTTTCCTCTACAGATAATCAAAATATTATTGTATCGAAAAATTAACTTTCTTCCTCATTAATCGATTCCATATGAGATAATTCATTTGTAGTAACTTCATCCTGAAAAATATTGATTGTTTAAACCTGCTCTATCTATTAATTTATTAAACTGATTTTTTTTTTTCTTCCAAGTTAATTTTAGAAACAAATAAAAACTCTCAAGTTCATAACTATTAAGCTCAGATCCAGAATTTCGAAATTAGAACAGAAAACGCACTGTAGATAGAATAGAAGATAGTGATAATTTTATTGAAAGTGAAACGTCTAACCATACTATAAAACCAACTAATTCCAAATTATTAAAGATAGAAAGATGATAGATGATAAAAAATTACAAACAATGGGATAAGTGAATCAAAATCAATCCCAAGACTCACACCAAATAATCATAGTCAATCATAAAATTTCTCCGGATATATTATGCAATGCTGGAACCATTCATAAACAGAATTCATTTACTGAAACAATAACATTTCATCAAACGATTTGTATAAATAGAAAGAAGGGAGAAGCTTAATACAAGATATCTCAAAACCCCCTCATAAAAATGAAAATCTATCATCATGTCAAAAAAACGCATTTAGACCCTCCCTCACGAAATGAGACTTCGGATCACTGCGAAAGCAGGCCTTATAAGGCTAAAATATTACCGTATCGTTGCAAATAATGCCCTAGGGCGTTTACAATTTTCAGCTAAAATTTAGTTTGATGAAAATTCTTAAACTCTGGAAATTGAGAAAGTAATGCCCGGGCATTATTTTTTAAAAGCACGCAACGCAGACGAAAACGCAATAAAAGCCGATCAGGAAGAAATATTATGTTGGTATTTATATGCCAAAGAATTAAAAGACTAATATTTATAATCAAATATAGCATTTGTGAGAAAAAATGGTTTACGAGATACAAGATGTTTTACAAACGAGTTATAAAAATCCTTATTCGAAAAAGCCGGGCTGACAAATTTTACTGATGAAATTTTCAAACGGTTATAGGTAATTTATCTAGTCTTTATTAAAAATATATTACTTATCAATTACACAAATATAATTATTTGTGCATTACACGTTTAAGTGATTAATTTAATATTTATTACTAGTGCACAAATTTTACCTTTGGTGCGTTATCTATTAACCACTTTCGTGCCGCAGAAAGATCACCATTTTCGACCTCCAATGCATAAACACAAAATTCGTCCGCATACTCTCCTTCGGAACCTTCACCATCTTCACCTTTATATAATATATTTGCAAGTGTGCGTTTTTTTGTTGTTGATTCGTCTACACAAAGATACATAAAAGCAGTAGTAGACGATTGAAGCTGTTTTAAAAGAGGAGTCAGAGATAAAGCTGCAGTAGTAGGATCTTGTGGTGATGAATTTCCTGTAGCACAATACTAAATTTTTAAAATGGTTTAATACTAAATTAGTAATAAGAACAAAACTAGTCGGTCTAATGTAAATAATGTAAACATTTTACCATATTTTTGCACCAATGTTGTCCGCATCCGGTTGTCAGCTGTGAATGATATTTTCTAGCAACTCTTGTATACAACATTTTCTTTTCTGGATCCGCCGTTGGTGACCAGAATGGTCCGAAACATATTGTACATAATTTAAGTACATTATCAGCTGCGGTCCTCACACAATTTTTATTCCTACAAAGTGGTGGTAATTTTCTATTTTGTCTTTCAATCTCGTGCATCATATTATGAGTAGCAATATTTTTTAGGATAACCGGTAGATGACATTTTGCGCAAGTAGTAGTACGACCACCACAATAAGATTCATGTGCAGTTAATCCTTCAAGCAAATCATGTTGATTGGTCGATGGGTTACCTTGTTTAACAAGGTTAAGACAGAACCTACATGTGATTAGTTTTTCAGGACATTCCGTCCGCTTGTGTTGAGCTAACTCTGGGAGCGATTCGGTATCAAATCCGCAGGAACATTGACGGCTTGTATGAAATATAAAAATGTGTTTTTCTTTTTCTATATAATCACCTGACTAAAAATAGTATATAAAGTTATTATATACATTATTATCCTCAAATCATGTTCCAAAAAGAATAATATTTTTACCTTATTACAATATTCGCAGTGCCAGTGCTTTTGTTCTTCACCTTTTAACATTACTTTCCCACATAGTTTACATTTAATGTTATTCCTCAGACAAAAATTTGAATGCAGGGCAATGGTGCGTTCAGGTATCCGACTCCCACAATTGTCGCATTTAACATACCCAGGTGAATTTTCATTTGCATCACTAGTTATTGTACTTTCTGAATCATGGGATTTTGATGGTTGGTCAGAAGATGTGATCTCCAATTCGTATGAAGCTGGTTCATCACTAAATCCGTGAACACCGACAACAAGTTCGTTGGTAGCATATTCTGAATTTGAATGTGGAATGAATATATTCTTCGTTGATGCAGTTTCAAAATTTGACCAAAGGTGTGCGTCAAGTGTAGGATTGCGAACAGTGGATATGATAAGATCTGAAGTCATTTGATTTAATGGACGATAAGCCAATATCTGTAAGAAAATTATAATAAATAAACTAAAATGATTCCAACTACTTTTGATAGATAAGAATCAACCATAATAAACATACCTGCGTCACCAGTATGAATACGCAGCTCGATATTTAATCCATGATGCTTGTCAACTCCTAATACATTCCAATAGCCATAAGCATTTTTGCTAACTTTTCCATTTACAATTTGTCCTACTTGTATATCATTTTCAGTATCTCCTTTGAAAGTTTTGAAGGCATTGTGACCTGCATCGAGTGGTTCTATTTCTAATTCTAAATCTGTGTCTACGATCTGAACAGCATTGGAAGGTTTAAGAGATTCCACCAAAAATTGATATGATGAGTCAGCTTGCTTTATTGTTAGAATTTCACCTGCTGTCAAAGTCGTATAATGAGATCTTAAATATCCTTCAAACGCGGCTCTTTGAAGGAAAAAAAGAAAAAATATTATTACAAAAATAGTCATTTTAATATGAAAAATATAAACTTACTTATAATCTGGTATTTCTTTGTAATTTGCGTTCATTGGACGAAATCGCGCCCAGGTACCTTTAGGCAATTCCTTCAACCGGATCGTAACTTCAGAACCATTTGTAAGCGATAATGAATCATGCATCCATTGTGGTAAGTAAGCTTTCTCGTCTTTTGAGTTAAATTCAAGAACACCACCATAAGTTATTAAGCGTGTTTTTGGATTAGTAATCTGAAAAGTTATAGGATAAGGAAGTTGTGCGTCCGAGAAATCACTAGCTACGGATTGACTGGCTGTACGTAAAAGCTCCTCGAGTACGAAAGGTGGAAGGATAAGCTTATCACCCTCTAAATTGGCAATAACAGATCCAGACACTAGCGTCCTTGCATAAGAAAAAGACATAGTTTATTGTTAAAATCTTAGAGATTCAAGTTATTTGACACTTGAGTATGTATTTAACTTTATTTTTTTTTGACGATTATTAACAATTAAGACTATTCTAGAAAGAAGCTAACGTAAAAACAGCATCTTCTAGAATATTTAATACCTGATACGTATAATATGCGTCATAGAGGGACATTCGTCCGATTGGCTGTTTCGGATAAATTGCACAAGTAACTAATTTCCTAATTTTAGAAAGGCATTAATTTTTTACCGTCCCGAAAATAAAGGACTTAGAAGCAAAGATACCTATGTACATTATTACATTTTGCAATCAGCAGAGCGAAAAATGGAAACTGGGAACATTATTGCCAAAGGCCAAACTAACAAAACCCTACCAGATTAAGTGATATAATTTGCTTAAAGTGTTATAATGGAACCATAAAGTAGACCTTTGTAAGTTTTTACGTAGCGTAAAAAATTGGGGTTTTCGATATACTAATTAATCAAAAGCATGTGAGGTGCATTAACAATGATATTACTGTATTATAGTTAGATTTTATGCATAAAAATTGATCGGCAAAATCACAAAAATTTATTAATGAAAGATTAGTGTTCAAAAAATCGGTTCACCTCATGTAGAATCTATTTTTTTACCGCAATTTTTGTAAATAAAACAAGCTATAGTTTAAAATTTTTAGTCAATTAGACATTTCTAAGCTTTGCATTAGCGGAAATTTGTCTTTTGTTCTTATTCAACATCTTCTAACCAGAAATAAATATGTTTATTGATGATTTGGCCCTTGTTACTAAAAATCAGGCTCTATAGTTTTAAAATAATGCTTATTATCATATTATGTATCAAATTTTGTCAAGAAATTCGGGCTAGTTTTAGCGTTGAACCCTTTTAAAGTATGACTTTTGTTGTAAATACATATAACAGTACACTTAACTAAACAAAAAATAAGCGTTTGTCACGAATTGACTTTCGTGATTGTTATGAATTGGCCTTTGTAACTGCGTTTGTTAGAATTAACTGTTGTAATTGCATTTGCAATTTTTGTAATTGTTTATAATATTGTCAAGTTATTAAAAAATAAGTAATTGTTTCAAATTGGATTTTGTAAATAAAACTTTAAAAACGCATCAAAGCGAATTTCAAAAATTTTTATAAATTGTAACTTTTAATATCAAATCCTTTTGCACAATGCCTAATCCTTCAAAACGTCAACTTCATCTTAAACATGCACATGAATCACTCGACAAAAAGCGCAGATTAAATCAGCATCAAGCAACTATTGATAACAAATTACTTAAAAAAGATCACTAATCAAGAACTTAAAATAATCCATGATACAATTTTTAATAATTTGAATATTAAACCTGATCCTTCTAAAGCATATAACACAATAGTTAATACTCTTAAGGACATGTCTAAGATAGATCTCAAATCAACATTCCATCTTTTGCATACAATGAGATATCCATATAGAAAAAATAAAGATCAAATTATATCACCTTATATACAAAACAAAGCAATTCAATATGTCTTCAACTCTCTTTACAAGTCTAGAAAGTCATTAGAAGTATTAAATAATGAAAACAAACAACTTAAAAAAGAAAATAAAAAATTACAATAATCTAAAGATTATGCAACCCATAAAGTTAGACAACTTAGCAACTCTATTATGCAGTTTAAATGTAAACATCATCATCATATATCTCAAATTTGTGCAGTAACCAAACATCCACCAGAATTAAAAGACAATAATTTAAAAACTATAATTAGAAATGCAATAAAACAAAATAAAAAGGAATATAATAAAGATTTTATTAATCTTATCATACAAGTTTCTCAAATCGATCAAATGTCTTTTAATACTGTAACAGAAAGTATAAAGACAGTTTTTAATTCTTTAACAGAAGATGATACCCAGTCTTGACTTGATATAAATACCATCAACTATTAGCATCATGAAGTGTTAGAACTGCATGTAAGAAATCTATTTCAATAAGCTAATCAATCATCTCATTTTTCATTCAGAATCATGACAAATAAGTCAGGTTAAAATAAAAAAAAATATTAGTAGAATGTTTTATGTTTTGGAATTTAGAAAAAAATATACCTGATATTGTATTCTTAGAAACAAAGAACCTTTAGCACTGTAATTCTGACACAGTTAGTCATATTTTTTTTGAATCTTGTAAAAAATATAATCTTAATACTAGAAGTTGTCTTATCTTTCTCTCTGATAATACCAATTATATAAGTAGTTATACTGAAGACACTGTAACAAAATTTAATAAATTGATTCAAAATAATTGTATCCAAATTTCCTGTGAATTGCATATGTTATATTTAGTTTTGAATAATTTTAAAGAAATGACTTTTGGTAAATTTTTAACAAATACTAGATTTTTAAAGATATACCATTCATTTAATCTTTTTTATTTGACATAGATATTACATGACAGATATGATCAAAGTGACAAGAACTTATCACTAAATATGAGAAGTGAAACAATTCAAAGTTTTTATAAGACACAGCTTAATTATATATTAACTAAATATTAACATCCCCTATAATCACAATAGCAATATAAATTAATTACAACAGAACAATACCTTGAGAGATATGAAATTTATCTTGAATTTGTTTCATGGTTCCTTCTAAAACTTAAAACTTTAAAAAAAGTTTCAAAATCCTATATTCAAAAATGTAACCTTTTTCAAGATTGGCTAAATGATTTTGAACTAAACATTGAAGTTCAATATTTAGTTAAGTTCAGTCAAGAATTTTATCATTTTTTTGCAAAGTTTCTTATCAGTTATAATCCTCAATTAAAAGTTTTATGGTCTGATAATTCATTACAATGTTTACTTTCAAGTCATTAAGCATATCAAATGGTAAACTTCATTATTAGTTTAATATATAAACTCGCAAACATTGTGGAAAATCTTTACGTATTTTTTGAAAGCAAACTTTGATAAAGTACAGAAATTTTGGATAATTTAAAAATTGAATTATTGGTCAAAAATTGGAAAATAAAATACAGAAAGGACTTGAATTACACTAAAAATAATTAAATTATTAGTTTCATTTTCCTTTAAACATGTGTTGTCTTGGTAGAAATAATGTATAACAATTTGCATGCAATTATTGGCATATTGTATTTAAAAAACCTTGGCCCAAGTTTTTCACTTTAAAAAAACTTAGTTATGCATGATTTCTTGAAATAGACACAAATCAAAAAAGATTCAATAACTTCAGGCTTAAAATCACTTTAGCTAAAGAATCTTTTTTTCAAGAATTTAATGTATTTGTTAGAGAATTAAATGCTTAATTTCACCAATACCCTTAGCTTTACAATTTTATTAAAAACAAAATCTGGTATATTATTGTCTATCAGCAGCAGGTTGAGGGCCTATTCAATAAATGAAACTTAAAAACTCATTTCAAAATGACTAATAATACTCAACAATCCAAAATACATCTTTTAGCAACTAAAATAAAAAAATATCAGTTTAATTATAAACAATTTAAGGATATTCAAAGTGAAAATAAAATTATATACTAACAAAATTCTATTACTTCTTTTCAATTAGATAGACAGGATGCTGATAACCTTTTTAAAGAATTATTTATATCTCGCTAAAGTTGTAATTTTCTAAAATTCAAAAAAAAAAGTTATTATTCATGTAATGTTTATTTAATATAGATGTAATATAGACATAAATACTTAAAGTTAATATTTTTATAGTCTTCTTTCAACATGCTTAAGCTTAATTAAAATTGTGTCAGCTATAATATTAAGTAGACAAACTCAAATAAAATTTGAGTTTTGAGTATTAAAGCATTGTACATTTGCCCTGTCACAAATTTAACTGAAAAGTATTATTTTTTTATTATTTAATATATGTTAACATTAAAAAATAGTAATAGCAATAGTAATAGTTAATTTAATCTGTTACATAAAGATCTTGAAATTTGATTCGATAAGTAACAGGTGATATTTGCATACAGTTCTATTGGCTAAATAACAAGAGGTATTGTTATAAAAATCTGTACTATTAATATTTACTATTATACCTAACATAGTTTTGATTAATTAGTATATCGAAAACCCTAATAAAAAATATAAAATTACTTCAATATGTAGATTATAAAAATAGCAATTTCTATTTGAATGATGGTATATAAAACAAAAGTATAAGGGATGTGGTGACCTAGTAAAGTGATCAGGTTGTTAACCTCCAAGTGGCAGGTTCAGAGTTCAAATCCTAATGTTAACAGAAAATTTGAAAATCTTCTCTATATTACAGTTAACTGTCTCTTACAATTGGTTGGGATAAGACACCTGTAATCTATGTTGCACCAGCATGACTGGCAGATCACATGTTATTTGTATAACAGTCACATGACATTGTCATTTGGGACAAGCTTTGTGGTTATATGAAGAAATGCAAACTGATACCAGGCAGTGCAAACCTACAATAAGTCCTCATCACCATGTAAATCATAGGAACCAATAGAAGAAAGATGGAAGCCTACTTGGAAGACCTGAATAGAGAGGTAACCCAAGCTTTTAATGATGCTACAGTAAAGACTAGACTTATGAAATGGAGCTAGAACTTGTGAAACTGGGCAAACAT